ACTTTACTTAGTTTTTTCAAGGCAATCGGTTTGCATGCTTTTTTTAAGTAAGCCCAACTAATTAGATTTTACAGTGTGTTAATCATTTTCAAACATTTACACCATGCAGGGTTAACCTTACAGTAGTGTTCAGACTTTCAAAATCCTTCATCACTTGAATTAAGATGATCAAATTTGAACACATCCACCACAAAATCAGACTTTAGTACCGCCTTTTATTTTGAGATTGATCTGAAGTTCAATGCAGATTTAAAATCATAAGAAATAGTTTACTGATACTGTTTTTGAAACCAAATCTTTGCATAACTACAGGAAACACTGCATCTAACAATGGTTTGGAAAATAAAGAGTTAATAAAAAAATTATAATAAATAAAAGAAGAAACATGAAGAAACATGAAGAAAAAAAGTCACCTACATCTTGGATGCCCTGGGGGTAAGCAGATAAACATCAAATTTTTGGGTGAACTATACCTTTAAGTACAGACAAGATCGTTTTCCTGGCATTTGGGTGGTCTGACAAGGCCTCTTATAAAGGAAGAAAGGGGTCACCTTCAAATGTTTTGTCCAAGTCTTGTAAATTCAAGTGACGGGCTTGACACAAAAACAAATATTTGTAGGGGTTAGCTAGAAGAAGTGCCTCTGTTTTTTTTTTCCATAGGCATATGAACCAACATTATGAATTTGTTTGTTTGCTCATAATGAACTCAAGTCAGAGAGGCACATGAACTGTGGTTACACAAATCATCCTCAGCTGGTATGATGTTCTTTGCCACAGTTACTTTAGAGTGAATCTTCCCTACAAGATAGCACACGAGTGGAACATGACTGAAGGAAAAGCTTTTTTAAGAAAACCTATGGAAATTTAGAATGGCAAATGATGATTCTTTGCATATAGATAATATAAATACAGAAAAATAAACTTCAGTTATTACAACTGATAAAACATTAAATTGCAAATAAATATCCCATGTCAGAGTTTGGGTGATTGATAGCCAAGTTAAATACAACTAAATTGAATTAATGAATGTCTAATCTTAATTCACCTGCACATCACAGTCTAAAGCAGTTAAAACAACATATGAAATGTTTAATGACAAACTAACATGATGACAGAGGAACAGGCAAGCGTCTTTTCGCACTTGTCAAGTGCGTGCTTGGATTTGCAGATTATCTGCATTAAACCGGTACCCGGATAACCATATATGGTCATAAGGTGCGCGCTACGATGGATGCCCAGCCAGTGACAAAACCCCAAAGTTAAGAAAGGGGCGGAGCGCCATACATGTCTCATGACGAGTCTGCCCAGTGGCGGGTAGAGCGAGAACTCTCGCACACACTATAAATACAGGCATTGGCTGGAAGATTGAATTGCCAAACGCTCCTCAGAGGAAGAAGTTGGATTAAATCTTTTACGCCTAAATTGGACTGCTGTCACAAACGATGGACAGCACGACTGTAATGTTTTCGGCACTTTTTCTGGTTTGGTGTACGTTCGTAAACGGATCCCCAGGTAAAATATTAAGGATTTTGTTTAAACCTTAAACTAATCCAAATATTAACTATTTACTTATAGTATTGTAGTGTATAGTATACTGTTGTACTGTACAGTACAGTATGGCATGGCACAGTGTAGTATAGCAATGTGAACTTTGGGTGTAATGTTAGTTTTGTTGTATTTAAAGGTTGAGTTGTAATGGAAACCATGAAAGCTACATGATGTGTTTCATACTGTATTGATGTGACTGATGTCCTCTGTCCCATTTAGCATCATTGGAAGTGGGCAAGCTTACCAAAGCAACAAATGTCTCCTGGTCATCTTACAATTTCAAAACAATCCTATCATGGGGACCTAAACCTGTCAACTACACATATACAGTTGAATTCTCAAGGCAAGTACACACATATCTAATTTAAACTGCATAGCTTTGCTTTGATCTTGCTCTGTATGGTTCATATTAGCAATATTTTGTGATTTTAAAATTCAACAAGTAAATATGTATTGACTGAAACTCTAAAGGACTATTCTAACCAACATGATTTTTCTCTGCAGAGTTGGTAAGGACAAACTGAGAAACCCTCACTGCATTAGAAGCACTGAGACAGAGTGTGACCTGACTAATGAACTGGACGTAAAGGGGGTTTATTCTGC